AATAGTAATATTAATAGTAATAGTAACAGTAATGGTAAGAGGAGAAGTGTAGGATTTGGGTTTAGGGTTTAGGGTCTAGGATTTGGAGTTTAGGGCTTAGGGTGTTCATCAGCGTCTTGATCACCTTGTTTATGAGCATAATGATGGCGAGTCGCCACAGAGCTACTGCACGTCTGCAAGATGCGTAGCGATATGATTGTTTCCCGATGCTTGAAGAGTGGAGAGTAGACAGCCAAACGCTTGGCGTTCAGGCGGCATGACGTGAGGGATTGAGATGGTTTGAAGCTTTCGAGGTTCGGGTGAGCATTAACTTTGATTCAGTTTTGTAAGGGTTCTTTGGGTGTACATACCTTTCCCGCCCCAACTCCTGCATCCTGAAAACGAGAGAAGTCTTGCAGGTCGTGAACGGTCTGGAGATTCACGCCGGACATGCAGCGCACCACATGACCGACTCGTGTCTGCCTTCATCCGACTTTTTTTTGTCTCCCCTGGCGCCGGGTATGTGGGTGCCGCAATGCTAAAAAGCGACTAGTGTGCCAACCGAAGGAGTGCGGGGCCCAAGCGCTTCTTAGCCCAACAGCCCCGAAGTCCCGACCCTCCGGAAATTCTGGGTGTACGGAAGTTGCTGGAGTGTTTCAACCCTGCTATTCTACTTAGAACTCAATCTCAGATGCAGATGCCTGTGCTGATGCCTTTTGATGAGCTCGGCGTCAAGCTGTATCCGGTCGAACGATGCACCGACTCCTCTTACCTCTGCAAGAATCCGTGCCAGTACGTACGTTGCCTGATGTGACATGTATCCTGTACCATTGTTTGACCCCGATGGTTGTCGTAGCCTGTAGGGCATACAGGCCCTCTGGAGCCAAGAGTCTTTCCTCCTCAAAATAAGCACTAGGCCCTAAATCCTAAAACCCTGCCAAGGCAAACATGCTTGAAGCTCCCGAACCCCAGAACCTAAATCCATAAACCCACAAGCCCGAATGCCGCAATGCCGAAATCCTCAACCATGGAAGGGGAAAGCCTGCTGCAGAGACACAGACATATAGGGGCCTTAGTAATTAGATTAGAAGAGGGTTTGGGGTATATTATACTGGTAGAGTTTTATATGGAACCCCAAAACCCTACTCTAATTATCAAGGCCCCTACATTACCTCGAACCCTAAACCTTAAACCCCAAACTCTAAGCCCCTCAGCCCACCTTTTCACCGAATCCCTCCGCCCTAAACCCTAAACCCTAAACCCTAAACCCCAAAACCCTAAACCCTAAACCCTAGACCCTAGACCCTAAACCCTAAACCCTAAACCCTAAAACCCCTTTTCACCGGATCCGTCCCGAGGCGCTGACCCACCGGCTGCGCAAGGGCGCTGCCCGCCGCCATGGGGAGCGGAGCCGGGCCTCGCTGGAGGCGGGGGGTTTGGGGTTTAGGGTTTAGGGTTTAGGGTTTATGGTTTAGGGTTTAGTTAGGGTTTAGGGTTTAGGGGCTTCTCGGGTTTTCAGGGCGATAGAAATTTTAGGGTATAAGGGCTCAGGGGTTTTGGGGGTTCAGGGTTCAAGGTTTGTCGGCGATAGAAATTTTCGGGTATAAGGGCTTAGGGGTTTTGGGGCTTAGGGTTTAAGGCTTAGATGAGATTTGGAGGTTCCGGTGCTTTTGGGGTTTGTTAGGCGGGGTACGGGAGGGTGGTGGTGAGGAGGTTTGGGAGGCTGCTGAGTGTTGTGTTTTCTGACCTTAGCAAGTTTTTTCGTGCTCGGGGATGCTAGGATTTCTTGTGGTTGTGGGTTCCGGGTTCAGACTTCGGTCCGAGTTTTCGAGGGGGTGTGGGGCCGCAGCAGTTATCGGAAAGTAGCTTCACCTAAATCCGAAAGCCCGGTGGTCTGACCCTGAACCCTAGACCCTCAAAACATAACCCCCCAACACTCAACCCTAGTAATTTGAGGGGTGGACCTGCCTTTCTTGAGCAGCTTAGTCAGGCTCCTCAGATATTTAGTATGATATTCGCAAGCTAAGTATTCTAATGATGAAGGCCCATAGAGTCGGTACGATGTGCAGGAACTTGCGGCTAGATCCTAGCATAGACTGTAACATGGTGCGATCTTGGCCATCAAGAGCCTCTACGAAGCTCCGTCCTGAAGTCCTCGATTCGACCAGGTCGATGCGTTGGGGAAAACCTCAGGCTACCAGCTCACGACCCCACTCGAGGCCAGGAAGGTTCGGGCTTCTGAGCCGTTGCAGGTTTTCATGCCTGTTGTATGTAACGTTTAAGGGTTTATGGAGTTTCCATAAGGGTTCTGCAGGCTTGCGGGTTTGAGGCCCTGCAGCTTTCTGCGATAGCGTTATGATGATGATGATGATGATGAGCTTTCAGTCTGGTAGCTTTGCTTATGTTTTGTTGATAATTAGAGTTATTGCTACTAACAGCAAGGTAATGATGATGGTGGTCATGAAGAGTTGTACTGCTGGCGTTATGATAACTATGATTGTGAATATCTTTGCCAGAAGGTTTGGGGCTAGGGCTGGGTTAACTGAGGATTTGGGCTACCAGGGGGCACCGGCGAGCTAGCCCAAAACATTGCTTCACAGGCAAGGACTCTGCATTATCAGGGGTTTGGAGTCTTGCACTCACACTAGACCGACCTTACACCCAAAACCCACATGACCGAATCCTCTGCACTTTCGGCCCAAGCGTGAGTAGGACTTCCTGTCCCGTGCATATTCCAAAGAGTTTCAATTCGACATTCGCAGCAGCAATGCAAATCTTCGTGAAGACCTTGACTGGCAAGACGATCACCTTGGACGTTGAGGCCAGCGACACGATCGACAATGTTGCTTGGCATGTTTCGGTTGTATCCAGTCGGAACAGTGCCATGTCCGTCAACACTTAGTGTGTTACGACGTCGAAACCTCAGCAGCAGAAAGGACCTTGAACACGAGTTGCTATGTGGAAGGAAGCCCCAGCAGCATAAACTGTGCCATCGACTGGAGCATTAACGAGTCCTGAGACTGTTTTTACAACCACCAGTCCTCGTGAGTTCGTGTGTAGCAGCATCAAGATGTCATGGCGATTTCAGCAAAGGCAGTCCATACATCGCCTCTAGAATACCCAGGTTTGATTTCAGGAGTCTGTCCCCAAAAAAGCAAGAGGGTTTGTGGACAATTCATTGCGCCGGCCGGTTATACAACGAACAATCACAAGTTTCATTTTTCCATAAACTCTCCGACCGACGTTTTTGTGAAAAAGTTTACATCATCTGTTCCAGTCTAGCTGCCAACTTGTTTTTCGTTTTGTGTAGGTCATATTCTTTACAAATTATGTGTTTGGTTTTATTGCAGTATGCCTGGAATCGTGCTCTACTACGTTACTACTTGCCGACTACAAGAATGTGCGCCTCACGTGGCACAAGGCAAGTAGGCTTGAACTTATCTGTATGTATTGATGTTTAGGTGCGGACGTTTGACCCGTCATCATCAGTGTTGTTTTGCTGATTCAGGCTCTTCGTGAAAATCGCATGAGCGCATGTGCGCGCAAGTATATGACCATGCGGTTGTGCACAGTGTGATCTAAATATACAAATAAAAACAAATTGTGTATATGTATACATACATGCTGTATGTAAGGAAACGCGTACATGTATTTGCGTAAGCCGTGTTTTGCAAAAGCATCAGAAGCAAGGTCAAGGCGAAGATTCAGGACAAGGAGGGTATCCCTCCCGACCAGCAGCGCTTGATCTTCGCCGGCAAGCAGCTAGAGGACGGAAGGACACTTTCCGATTACAACATCCAGAAGGAATCCACCCTTCACTTGGTGTTGCGCTTGCGAGGTGGCATGCAGATCTTCGTGAAGACCCTGACGGGCAAGACGATTACCTTGGATGTTGAGGCAAGTGACACTATCGACAATGTGAAGGCTAAGATTCAGGACAAGGAGGGTATCCCTCCCGACCAGCAGCGCTTGATCTTCGCCGGCAAGCAGCTAGAGGACGGAAGGACACTTTCCGACTACAACATCCAGAAGGAATCCACCCTTCACTTGGTGTTGCGCTTGCGAGGTGGCATGTAGAGGACTTGCATACAAGTGTAGCAGCTTCCTGCAATGAGTCTGCACATAGGGGTTGCTTTTCTCTACGTACTGCCGAAGAAAGCTACTATAATCATGCGGGTATTGGGACTCAGCAGGTGAAGCTGTTCCGCGAACTTTTGTCTCATAGCCGGGCAGCGGATCTTTTAGTGAGCGATTGTTTTGGGAAGATATCTTTTCGGTTTGGTAGTCGCAGTGGTAGGATAGAAACAGCTCGCAGCGGAGACCGCCTGGCAGGTATGAGGGGTTTGAGTCGGTTGAGGCTGGGTAGCGCTGCGCCGCGTTGTACAGATTTCAGCCTTGGGTTCACATTCTGTGCTCGGATCTGCTCATGCAGAACTCGGGCAGAGACTCGCTGGCCGATGCGGCCAAAAGCTCCGGAGTAACCAACTTGGCCATTAACGTCACAAGCCTTTGAACACCATCCTACTTGAAACCTGAGCCTTACACCAGGCCCATGTGATCGTAAGTCTTCGCAGTGATGGCATCTCTCGGATGTCCGAAGTGTCTTGGGAAGTGAGATTCCAGAGAAGGACAACCCCAAAGCCGATGGCCCGAAGCAAACACAGCCGAAACCTCAAAATCCGCACGTCCGGAAGTCAACAGCCATTGTCGTGCTGAGCCTGAAACCTCTATGGCCTTCAGCGCCGAAAGACCTCCTTCCCACAAAGCCCTAGCGTCCCCTTCAACAAAGCCCTCAGCCCTGAGCCCCGAAAACCCGGACCACTAAACCCAAACCCAAAAGGTTCCACCCTCTAAAGCCCTAAACCCTACCCACATCACTCAGACGCTTTGAAGCAGCTGGAAGGACATGTCCTCGGAGTACACCGGCATCATCGGCGTCGGCACCTCGTCGGACGGCGGGCCTGAGTTCGAGGTCTCCTTGGGCTGTCCTGGTACTTAAAGGATCTTGGGACTTAGTAAGTAGGGTTATAATTAAGGTAACTATACTTATATTTACTTGTAACCCCAATTAAGGGACTTATAACCTTACTTACTAAGTCCCATGATCCTCCAAGTAAAGGGCTACGAACGTCCACACGACCACCGTTGGTTCTTGCGGCTGGGGGTGGTTTTGATGCCCACGGTACGGCCCAGACGAGTTGTTCTGCCTTGACGTACTTTGTTTTTGCTTGTTTCTTGTTCAGACGCATCCGTGCCTTGCAGCTACTTGTTGTTGGTCTCCTTTGTTTCTTGGCCTTACGTGTCTGGGTGCCGCAGAGGTTTAGGGGCTTGACCAGACTCGTCTCAAACCCCAAACACGTTCCTGAACTTAAACCTTCAAGCCGGAAACAAGACCCGCAACAATACGAGGTTCGGGGTTCCTTCCGGGCATGAGGTCCTTACAAGTTGGGTCCACAGAGCGGTTCAGGGCGACCGAGTTTCCATCTGACTCCGTGTTGCCGCGCGGGTTGCCAGGCTCGCGTGGTCTTTGACACCGGGAGCACGAACTTGTGGGTGGCGTCCGTGCTCTGTAAGGACAGGGGCGAAACATGTCGAGTCGATGGGTGAGTGAGACTACCACTACTAGTAGTTGCAAGAACGATTGATGACTGAGATGAGCACGGGTGATCAGCAGCACAGACGTTTTTCAAATTGACTCTTGGTGCTCCGCATTGAGGACTCGCCCTGCGACCGCGAGGGTTCGGAGAAGTTCTACGACCCCGCCGCTGGGGCTCAACGATGTACCGAGGGCTCGGAGTTGAATCTTCGGCTTGTGTATCACGTTGAGTGGCATCGAGGGCTTGGATGTTTCGGGCCGACTGTCGGTGCAGAACCAAGCTAAGTCAAGCGAGAAGCGAGGGAGATCTCCTGCAAGAGCCAAAGCGGTGCCTGTTAGTGGCTTTTCTTGCACGCCTTGAGTCTCAGGCAAAGTCCTCGACGTCCCAGGCTTTCCTGGAAGATGGCATGGACCGCAGCCGATCATGTGTAGGTTTGATGGCGTGTGTAGTCACGTTACCACGTTATTCCTCGCTTTTTCAGGGCACTCAGAATGATGATGGTGATGGTAATGAGTAGCAATGATGCGCACAAATTTGCCAACGGCGGTGTTGTTTTCTGCTGCTGCAGCTGCAGCTGCTGCAGCTGCCGAGTGATGATGACGATGATGGTGATGATGATGACGTCGATGCTGCTAAGTGTGAACACGATGCTCTCACAGTGGGGCTGCGAAGGCTGCCAACGCTTTCGATGGCTCCTGTTCTCCATGGAGGCTTTCAGGATAGATTTCTACTTCTAATATCTCACTGTCTTGCGAAATCATTATTGGTTTGTCTTGTTGGTTCTCTTTGTCGTTTCCTTGCAATGGACACGTCGTGTATGTGCCTTGACTTATTTTAGAGTGTTATCCTTCCCCACTTCGTAAAACGCCACTGTTTCCGACCAGAGCCTTGTAGCTTTTCGGGTTTTTACCGAAGATCCGTTTATCTATCCAAGCTGCTCTGGCGGGCTTAGTCCTTTCAAGGGTTGTTTCGGGTTCCTGAAGAGCATCCCCAGGGCTTCTGAGTACCTCCCTGTGAGGAGAGCGACTCGGACATCGACATCATCTTTGGAACTGGAGAGCTGAAGGGCCCTCTCCACGTGGACACCTATCGCGTAGGCCTGGAATCGGGGTGAAAGAGGGCGCCTCTCTCTACCGGGAGAAAGATCAGATCCGCCCAGGCCCCATGGCCGTGGAGAAGCAGCCCTTCGCCATGATCCGCGAGATGACCGGCGCCTCGCCCTCTCGTCTCCTCTCTCGCCCTCTCCCTCCTTTTGTTCGTTTCCTCAGCTCCTGGTTTCGGGGAGTCTGTGGGCTTGGGCTTCAGCGGTTTCCGGGAGTGTTGGGGTCTCGAGCTTCAAGGGCTTAGGAAGGAAGGGGGTCTGCGGTCTGCTTTTGAAGCCCGATCAGAAAGCCGCAGTCCCAAAACCCACTGCACAAAGCAAGCTCCCGAAGCCCCTACACTCCAAAGCCCGTCTCAGATTCGCCCCCAAACCCCTCAATGTCCTAAGCCGAGGCGACGTCTTCTCTTCCTTCCCCTTCGAAGGCATTCTGGGCCTGGCCTTCCCCTCCCTCTCCTTCGGGGGCATCGAGCCCTTCTTCGAGACGCTTGGCTTGGATCGGATTTAGATAAAAGAGGCCGTGAGTGCCTTCTCTGTTCCAAGGGGGCGGCATAAAATCACAACGCTTCCTTCCCAGACTGTGGCAAGCTTGGCTGGACTGTTCTTGCTTCTTCTTCAGCAAAGAAGGGCCCGAACGAGAAAGCAAGGAAACGGAAGCGAGAAGACAACCAACGAGCACGTCGCTGAAATGTTGGTACAAAAGGTCACTAGGCCTGGAAGCTAGAGCCAGGACGCCGGGAGCGTGGTTTTCGACCATCCTGGCATGCACCTCTGAAGTGGGCAGGATGTTTCACCTGTCCCCCAGGACCCCAGTGCCACCCCCGGGCCCATGCAGCGACTCTGCGGTTCGTGGCAAGAACCTCCTTCGAGTCCGACCCTCGACCTCTCAACTCGCACCGAAGTCCGAAAGCCTCTGCTAAGACCTTCACCTCGGCGCTTCAAGCCATCAGTCTCGTTGCTTCCGCCCAGGAGAGTCATCAAAGCACCTCGGCGGCCTCGATTTGTGTGCCGACTTCTTCCAAGCGCTCGCCCAGCCCCCTTTTTGAGAGCGGACGGAGACGTAGATGGGGATGAGCGACCGTCTTCTAGCGATCCGGGCGTCTAGTGAGGAAGTTTATGCATGAGGTCAATGGAAATGTATGAAACATATGGACGTCCATGGACTCATACGGAATCCCTTTGCTGCATGCGGTGGCTTCTGATGGCCGGGGCCCACAGCAGGAGGACCAGAACAGCAGCTGCTCTGCGAAAGTCGACCTAAGAAGCCAGTAAGCTGACTTCTCCGTCACGCGAGGCAAAGCTATTGAAGAGCAATGAGTTCGCGTTTTATTTGAGCCCGGGTCTGCACGTGGCCGTAGAAGGATTGCTTAAGGGGTGCAAGGTCAAGAGGTTTTCTTTGAAGGGTGTGAGGTCAAGAGATTCACGGTGTGAGGCGTGAGCATTTTGAAAGGTTTGAGGATGTTGAGAAGGAGTTGTCGGGTTGGGTAGCCCTTGTGGCGTGAGTGTCTTTTTGGGCATTGACGGACCCCCCCCCCCCATTTCGAGCCTGTGAACACGTGTGGTCCCTGTTCATAGCAGTTTGTCAACATGGTATGTTCTTGCGTTCTTTCTCGTCATACTTGTAGATATTATCATGTATCATCTCCTTGCATCGGTTTCAAGGCTTGGTGCCAATCATACGACTTGACTATCCGCTTTTCCGTGCAACCCTGCATTTTCTCGCACGACTCTGGGACTTGCACCCCGTGGCCAGACAATGATTGCAGAAGTTTGAAGGTCGTCGTAATTACGTGTCATCACAGCTACTCTACGATGATTATTATTACGCTCTTGGTCGTGTGTGTTTGTTGTTCCGAGCCCTTGAGCCTTGAAGCCCAAGCCCAAGCCCCAAGCGAGTCTGGCCCTTCAGACGGAGCCCGAAGTGCCCAATTCTACAATGAGTTGTTGAGAACCCCAAAAGGGCAAAAGAGCTGAGGAACACCGACAGCAACCGTCCGAGCGCATTGCTTTGGGGCGGCGTGGACAAGGACTTGACTTCCGAGTTTCCCAAACAGTACTGCACTCGCGGCTGTTGTGGCGGCAGCGGTTAGAGTAGGAGTACGATCGGTGGTGACGGTGGTGGTAGAAGCAACCGTCGCAATTGTCGATAGTTGGAGCGGTGTTGATCAGAGCTTCAGAGTTCAGCTTAAGCGTCAGGCTGGGCTTCGGCCATCAAGCGCACTTACCCCTGAGGTCGGAGGCCGTGGGTTTTTAGCCCGAAATTCCCAAGCCTAACGCCGCGAAGCCCTAAACACTAAAGGGCTAGCACCCCACAACCCGGCTTGGCCGCTGGGTTGCGGAGAAGCTCCCACCAAGGAATTGGCGCATACACCCCATAGTTCTCTAGCCCTGCAAACCTGCAGCCCTTGACTCCACTAGGCCCTGAATCCTAAAGCATCATATACTATAATTATAATAAGGAACCCCCAAAATAGTATTCGTAATTATTTAGGCCCCTACATTAGCTTCTGAAAAGAGCTGAGCAGGATCTCTTTGACGGTCCGATCGCGCCTTGGCTTACCGAGTGCCAGTGTCTCAATCCACTCGTTTGTGCGGCAATTTGTTTCGGAGCCTCCTGAGCCCTAAGTAAGTCCCGGAATGGGATTGGCGAAAGTCGTCTGACAAGGTCTGCACTCGTATCCTGGGTATTGTCGATGGCATCCGGAAGGTTATTATGACTGCTCCAGTTCTTGGCGTTCAGAGCTTTGCCATCTTCGCCGCTGCTTCAGGTGATGTTTCCCGTGGTGAAGCCGCACTACTGGCGCGCCACCGAGCTTTGCGGGTATCAGCAAGAATTCCAGCAGGTCCCGAGCAAGGAATGCTGGTCAGAGGCACCACCAGAACACTAAGAGTTCTGACATGCCCACGAAGACGTGCCAAACGCCGCGTTATCTTGAAGCTTCACAGCCTAAGCGATCCCGAAACAAACGGCCTGATGTCTGTTCGCATCTTTAGATATAGTATCCATAAAAGAAGGCGTGTAGCTTGAGGCCTTCCGAGTGGTGAGGGTGAAGTGCCCTGTGCATCACACAGCCCCCAGTCGAAACGCAAAACCCGCGAAGCCCCAATCCGAATGCCACAAAGTCGCGGCTCAAGCGATAGTCTTCCTCTGCAGCCCGTAGCGCCGTAGCTGTGGGAAGGATGATCGAGTTGTATTTCTTCACAGACCGGGCAACCACGAAAGATTGCCCGCGCTCTGCCACGATGTGGCTCTTTTCTCCATAGCTTTACAGCTCATGCTACTTGTGCTGATCCTTTGCTACGCTTGCTTCAAGGCTCTGTCCCAGCGCCTGGAAAACCTCTCACGCGCAAGGAGTGCTGCTGCAGAGGAGGCCACAGACGAGCGGGCCCCGAAGTTCAGGATTGAGCTGCAGTCGCCGTGCAGATGCCTGCGGTTCGCAGTGAAGTGGGACCCTGACATGAGAAACATGATTAATTGTCTCAAAGAGGAGGGTGAGGAAGCGAAAGAACCGCCCAGAAGACGGCTGAGCAGGAGATGCAAGACCGACAAGCTTTGTTGGAGCTCTTCGTGCAGGTGGACCAACCGGTGGCTGCTGTTCAGGCACCACTAGCACAAGAGCCGGCGCTTGTGGTGGAACCGTCAGAGAAGCCAGCAGCTTCCATTGCGGTGCCGGTTGCAGAAGGAGTTGACGACCCTCCGGATCCATTCCTTAAGATGCTCATCGCGACTTCGCAGAAAAAGCCAACAGATTCCCAGATGTTCTCAGAGGATGCTGCTGCCCTGAAGCACGGCAGGCAGAGCAACCGGATGCAGAAGCGCCGGGGGCCTTTGGGCAGGTGCCCGTTGAAACTTCCAGAGGAAGCCAACCGAAGCTCAAGGAATATACCTTAAATCATATTAGGGATCCTACCATAATTTAAGGTCTATTCCTTAATTAAGAGATATTGGAGTCTCTGGGAAGCAGCCTCCACTCCCAGCACCTCCCAGACCCGGGCCCGGGTCACCCTCCCTTCCTTCTGGAGATCTGCGAGGTCGCCACATCTCCCCAGGTTCAGAGAGATGTCCCAGGTGAGTTTCACCATGTCGCACTGCCGTCTCCAGCCTCAAGAAGGTTCAGTACATCTCCCTGAAGTTCAGGGAGATGTCCTGAACCTTCTTGAGGCTGGAGACGGCAGTGCGACATGTGAGTAGTTCTCTAAATTCGGGTTCCTTTAAAAAACTTTTGAGGCCCTTGTTGTGACGGTGCCGTACCATGTTCGGGACCTAAAGCGGACCCTAATGTAGAGAACTACCCAAGCCCTGCTTGTCTGTCGCCATCGCCATCTGTTGCTGCTTCCTTTTTCATACGACGATCGGGAGGGCGTGTAGAGCGTCCAAGCAGGCCACATGAAGCCCCTCAATTCGAGCAATCCGTGGCTGGAGAGGCACCGGATGCCGCCATGAACATGCTCATGGAAACCTCGCAGAAGAAGTTCACGGACGTGCAGATGTCGCGAGAGGATGCTGAAGCGATGGCAGCCATGGTGGCAGCAAAGCAACTCTTGGAAGCAGAGGCGCAGCATGACCACCCAACGCTCATTGAGACCTCGGAGAAGAAGCCGATTGATGCTCAATTGTCCCTCGAGGATGCGGCCGCCCTGGCCTGTCTGGCAGAGGAGCCTGTCAGCAACAGCCCGGAAACGCCGCAGGCAGAAGTGCCCTCGGCAGACTTCGGATGCGACACAGACGGCTGGGACAATGACTTCTGGGAACTCATCGATCCCAGCGTGCCACCACACCAGGCAGCAGCCCAGCTCTTTTCAGCAATGGGCAGCTCGGAAGAGCTTGCATTCGTCTCCAGTGCTCCTATCGTGCCCAACAGCGACATGAGCGAGGATCCCTTCAAGGGCTTTTGGGACAGCTTAGATGCCAACATGTCCCCAGAGCTGGTGGCAACCAAGCTCCTGAGCACGGCCCAGTTCATACAGGCCTACTGACCGATGCTAGCGGTGCAAGTGCCAAAGTGCGCTGCGCAACCTGCATGTAAAGCTGTCAATGTCGGGCAGAGAGCTGGGAGTAATCTTGGCTTCAATCCTCGATGTTTCGAGCCTGGTTCGGGCGTGTATGGAAATGTTCTGCCACTTGACTGCTGATGATGCTTGGTTGGCATTTTAGTGGTGGGTTCAAGTTATTTGTGCAAGTGTTGGCTGTGCGGTGTTGGATGGCATCCGTGCTTCGCATGTCAAGACAGACATTGCATGGAGACCCTCGCCACTTCCGAAAACCCCAAACTGCTGAATTACAACGATACCTGAAGCCAAGCCGTCCTCCTGACGTCTGACCGTTCGTCAGATGCAAACCGCATTGCCGCAGAGCCTTGTCATCTCTAAGAGATAGACAAGAGTGCTGCCGCCAAAACAGTCCGACTGCACGCACGTCTCTTGCTGGCTAAGCAGGAAGGGAAGCCCAAACGTTGGTGTTTGGGTGTCCCAGCCCCAGAACCCCACAACCGAAAAGCCCAAAAACGCCTAAAACCCTAAACCCTAAACCCTAAACCCCTGACTAGACATCCCCTCTGCTTCTCCGAGGTCCCTGGAGCTCGTGGACTTCCGGATCAAGGGACAGTCGATCAAGGCCCAGCCTGCCAAAGCTCGAACTTGGGAGCTTCCGAAAAGTAGGGGGTACCTTATTTGGGGGTCCTTATAATAAGGATCTACTATTTAGGGTGCTATAACCCGATACTATATGGGAGCTTCCGAAAATAAGGGGTACCTTATTTTGGGGGTCCTTATAATAAGGATCCTACTATTTGGGAGTTTC